AATAGTGCCCCAATCTTCTGTGTCAGTGGGGGGAATAGTGACCCCAATCGTTGGTGTCAGTGGGGGGGAATAGTGCCCCAATCGTTGGTGTCAGTGGGGGGAATAGTGCCCCAATCGTTGGTGTCAGTGGGGGGAATAGTGCCCCAATCGTTGGTGTCAGTGACACCAATGATGGGACATTATTCCTCCCACTGACAGCTATGACACTTAACTAGCCGCCCCCTGTTCCAGCATGGTTCTGCTGCAGCCAGCATACCTGGTTGCAGCAGTACCATCTGCACGGTTTAACCGGGTGGTCAGCTGTCCTCTTTCCTTCACTGTCAGCCTCTCCCTCCCTTGATTTTCACGGGGCCGCTCGGCTCCGCCTCCTCGCCGGTGATTGGCCACCTGTGTGCCTTTCCTGAGCTACAGTACTGGCGCCCAATCACCGGTGAGGAGGCTGCAGCTGAGTGGCAGCAGTGGACATCGAGTGAGGGTGCGACCGGAAAGGGAGCAGCGCATCCTGGACTGGATCATCGTGGAACTTGGACCGGAGCCAGGTAAGAGACAGCAGCCCCCTGCCCACCCATGTACTTTGTGTCCCCTGCTGGCAGGCTGGATGAGTGTGCTCGGTGGGCTGCATGTGGGCCGTAGTTTGAGGATAACACCCCGGCTGTAGAGGAATATGCTTTGCTCATATTCCATGTCTGAGGGTTACAACCACTGTAAGTGATCTCTATTTACTAAACACCAATTTGATGTGATCCTTAACTACTATTTATTAGTGTGGCCCCCCTTGTCCTGAATAGAGGTACTATGTGGGTTTAGTTTGTGGCTGGGCTGTACTTGGCTCAGGCTGATTGTATAGTTCTTCACTTGGTTTCTCCCTAAGTTTAGGTTGTCTTGTGATGTCTCACTGTGGCCAGTAGATGTCACTGCTATCACTGGACATAGGATGAGATTTCACCAACCAAACTAAAGGGATATTAAACCACAAATGTCCCATATTGAAGCTTACCAATCATTGGGGTGTGGCGGCTGCATTCCTTTTCTTTGGCTTTTTGCCCTGTTTTCACCTGGTGATCTGACCAGTAACACACCTTCTGTATTAGAGCGCCCCCACTGTGGAGACAGCAGCATGGTCAGTCTGGGGGGAGGGGAGTGTTAGATGTACTAGCAGGTTTACCAAACGGAACTAATTGAAGCCAAACTACAGCTCACGCTTCATGTATTAGTTACATCAAACAGGTTTTTCCTTTTGGGTTAAAAGTTTTACATGAATAAATAAAAGCTATCATTGTAAGCCCCCTGTCAGTGGTAATGTGGTCTGCCTCATCCCTGGAACTGATACATTCTGCTACAGCGTTTTATAAAACAGATTTACTGGCTAGATCACAGATGAATATAGCAGCAATCCTAAAAAATAAAACTACTAATACATGGAGATATATCTAGTCCTAACTTTTGTATCCTATATGATAAGTTGTACATTACATTGGCCTTCATATTTTGCACCCATTTCCTCCCCCCTGGACATTTTATATCGGATGATGTGATTGGAGCACAGACTTTTACATGGTGATAATAATGTGATAACATCCTCCAACTTTGTACCCTTAAACAGGTGATAATGAGGGAGGAGTCAATAACATAGTTACATATCTGGCTGAATGTAAATACAAAAGTCATCCAGTTCAACCATAGAAAAAAAAAATGGAGATAATCCCCCCCACAGTTGATCCAGAGGAAGGCAAAAAAAAATCCCCCCAGCAAAGCATGATCCAATTTGCTCCTGCTGGGAAAAGATTCCTTCCTGATCCCCCGAGAGGCAATGGGATCATATCCCCCCTGGATCAACTTTACCTATAAATGTTATATCCCCCCAGTTATATTCTGTGTATCCATGGAGATCATATCCCAGGACTTATCCTACATGGAGATCATACCCCCCCTTATGTATTATACATGGAGATCATATCCCCCCCTTATGTATTATACATGGAGATCATATCCCCCCCTTATGTATTATACATGGAGATCATATCCCCCCCTTATGTATTATACATGGAGATCATATCCCCCCTTATGTATTATACATGGAGATCATATCCCCCTTATGTATTATACATGGAGATCATATCCCCCCTTATGTATTATACATGGAGATCATATCCCCCCTTATGTATTATACATGGAGATCATATCCCCCCCCTTATGTATTATACATGGAGATCATCATATCCCCCCTTATGTATTATACATGGAGATCATATCCCCCCCCCTTATGTATTATACATGGAGATCATATCCCCCCTTATGTATTATACATGGAGATCATATCCCCCCTTATGTATTATACATGGAGATCATATCCCCCCCTTATGTATTATACATGGAGATCATATCCCCCCCTTTATGTATTATACATGGAGATCATATCCCCCCCTTATGTATTATACATGGAGATCATATCCCCCCCCCTTATGTATTATACATGGAGATCATATCCCCCCCCCTTATGTATTATACATGGAGATCATATCCCCCCTTATGTATTATACATGGAGATCATATCCCCCCTTATGTATTATACATGGAGATCATATCCCCCCCTTATGTATTATACATGGAGATCATATCCCCCCCCTTATGTATTATACATGGAGATCATATCCCCCCCCTTATGTATTATACATGGAGATCATATGGAGATCCCCCCCTTATGTATTATACATGGAGATATCATATCCCCCCCTTATGTATTATACATGGAGATCATATCCCCCCTTATGTATTATACATGGAGATCATATCCCCCCCCCTTATGTATTATATACATGGAGATCATATCCCCCCTTATGTATTATACATGGAGATCATACCCCCCCCTTATGTATTATACATGGAGATCATATCCCCCTTATGTATTTAATCTCCTCTTCTTAAGAGAGAATAAATTCAGTATTTCTGCTGATCTCCTCCATGCCTCTTATCAGTTTAGTTGCCCTTCTCTGTACTTTACATGAAGTTCCCCAACCCAGACAAACCCCCTTATGTATTATGTGGATGACAAGGTGTCGGTGAATGGACATGGGTGTCGGTGAATGGACAAGGTGTCGGTGAATATCCCCCCCCTTATGTATTTATACATGGAGATCATATCCCCCCCCCTTAATCTCCTCGGTAAGAGAGAAAAAATTCAGTTCTGCTGATCTCCTCCATGCCTCTTATCAGTTTAGTTGCCCTTCTCTGTACTTTATGAAAGTTCCCCAACCCAACAACCCAATGTTGGGTGGAACAAGGTGTCGGTGAATGGACAAGGTGTCGGTGAATGACAAGGTGTCGGTGAATGAAAGTGTTTGTTCCCAATGCCCGAAGTGTGCCCAGCACAATAGGTGAGTTGGAAGGTTTGGTGCATGAAGAGAACTAGGATTGAATTGGTATTGCTGAATCTTGGCTTCATTCCTCACATGACTGGGCCATTCATATTCCTGGCTAGGTTCTCTTTCGGAGAGACGGGGGAAATAGGAAAGGTGGTGGTGTCTGTCTCTATGTGAGAAGTGATCTCAGAGCGAGTGTGAAAGAGGACCTAGTTGATGGAGAGTGTGATGAGGCTGAAGTATTATGGGTGGAACTGCACATGGGGGGGCAGTACTACAAAGGTCATCATTGGAGTTTGTTATAGGCCTCCCAGTGTTAATGAGGAGGTGGAGACTCAGCTCCTCCCACAGATGGAAAGGGCTGCAAGGGCTTGGGACAGTGATGATAATAATGGGGGATGGTAATTACCCGGAAAATGACTGGAGTAATGGTACTGCAGGAACAGTTAAAGGGCAAATATTTGTAAACCTACTACAGGACAATTTTATGTCCAGTTCATAGAGGCCCCAACTAGAAATGATGCTCTGCTGGACCTGGTCATCTCCAACCATGCAGTTTTTATTACGAATGTCCATATAAAAGAACATCTGGGTAGCAGTGACCATAACATGATTTCATTTATTGTTAGCTGTAAACAGCGAGCACATACAGGGGAAAAAAAAACGCTCAACTTTAAAGAGAGCTAATTTTCAAAGGCAGAGATTGCTCTCCAGGATTTAGACTGGGAGGGAATATTGGCATCGATGAACACAACACAGAAATGGGAGTTCTTCAAAAAGACTGTATGTGACCACACTGCAAAATATATATTCCCATGGGCAACAAGTATAAAAGGCTACAAATCCAACCTATGTGGCTTACGGCCAAAGTTACAAAAGCGATAGATAATAAGAAAAGAGCTTTTATTAAACATAACAATGAAGGAACGCGATCATCGTTTACACATTACAAAGAACAGAACAGAAGATGCAAAAAGGAAATAAATGGCGCAAAAACTGAAAACAAACGACAAAGATATCAGGACGACCCCAAAACATTCCTCCAATATATGAATAGTAGAAAGGTCCGGTCCCAGCATGTAGGCCCTTTACAGAACCATCTAGAGGGGGGGGGGGACAAAGAGAACAACAATGTATGACATCCCTTCTTCAGCTCTGTGTATACAAAGGAGCATGGGGGGGCTCTTGTCCATAATGGGGGGTGGTACTGACACCCCCCAGATGATCCACATTGGCTCACAATTGATATGATCCAGAAATATTTGTACAGAATAAAGGTGAATAAAGCCCCTGGACCGGATGGCAGACACCCACGGGGCCTTAAAGAATTCAGCTCTGTCATCTCACAGCCATTGTTTCTCATTGTTAGGGACTCTTTAATGACTGGCATAGTACCACTGGATTGGTGTAAGGCCAATGTGGGGCCAATATTTATAAAGGGGACAAAATCTTTCCCAAGTAATTATAGAGCTGTTAGTGGAATTTCTATAGTTGGGAAGATACTGGAGAGTTTAATAAAAGACCACAGAGAGGAGAGTTCTTGCTGGAAACAAATATTGTAAGCCACAGACAGCATGGATTCATGAAAGACAGAAGTTGTCAAACAAATCTGATTTTTTTATGAGGGGGTGAGCAAAACCTTGGACAGAAGCGGTGGATGTGGTATACTTGGACAGAGAGGTGGTGTGGACGTGGTATACTTGGACCGAAGGGTGGCGGTGGGATGTGGTATACTTGGACATAGCGGTGGCAGTGGACGTGGTATACTTGGACAGAGGGGTGGCGGTGGATGTGGTATACTTGGACAGAGGGGTGGCGCTTGATGTGATATACTTGAACAAAGGGGTGGCACTTGATGTGGTATACTTGGACAGAGGGGTGGCGCTGGACGTGGTATACTTGGACAGAGGGGTGGCACTGGACGTGGTATACTTGGACAGAGGGGTGGCGTGGACGTGGTATACTTGGACAGAGGGGGTGGCAGTGGACGTGGTATACTTGGACAGAGGGGTGGCAGTGGACGTGGTATACTTGGACAGAGGGGGTGGACGTGGTATACTTGGACAGAGGGGTGGACGTGGTATACTTGGACAGAGGGGGGCGGTGGACGTGGTATACTTGGACAGAGGGGGGTGGACGTGGTATACTTGGACAGAGGGGTGGACGTGGTACTTGGTATACTTGGACAGGGGAGTGGACGTGGTATACTTGGACAGAGGGGTGGACGTGGTATACTTGGACAGAGGGTGGACGTGGTATACTTGGACAGAGGGGTGGACGTGGTATACTTGGACAGAGGGGTGGGTGGTATACTTGGACAGAGGGGTGGCGGTGGACGTGGTATACTTGGACAGAGGGGTGGCTGTGGACGTGGTATACTTGGACAGAGGGGGTGGCGGTGGACGTGGTATACTTGGACAGAGGGGTGGCGGTGGACGTGGTATACTTGGACAGAGGGGTGGCGGTGGACGTGGTATACTTGGACACAGTTCCCCACACATGGCTAATGTGTAAGGTAAAGTCTACAGACTGGAAAATCTGAATGTAAATGGATAGAAAACTGGCTAAAAGATCGTATATTCAGAGAGTAGTGGTTAATGATTCATACTCTGAATGGTCTGGGGGTGTCAGTGGGGTACCCCAAGGTTCAGTGTTATTAGTGTTTGTACCCCAAGGTTCAGTGTTTAGTGTTGTACCCCAAGGTTCAGTGTTATTAGTGGGATACCCCAAGGTTCAGTGTTATTAGTGGGGTACCCCAAGGTTCAGTGTTATTAGTGGTGTACCCCAAGGTTCAGTGTTATTAGTGGGTACCCCAAGGTTCAGTGATATTAGGTGGTGGTACCCCAAGGTTCAGTGATATTAGTGGGGTACCCCCAAGGTTCAGTGTTATTAGTGGGGTACCCCCAAGGTTCAGTGTTATTAGTGGGGTACCCCAAGGTTCAGTGTTATTAGTGGGGTACCCCAAGGGGTTCAGTGTTATTAGTGGGGTACCCCAAGGTTCAGTGTTGGGACCCTTACTTATTAATATATATATAAACAATATGGGGTGTGAGATTATAAACCCCATTCCAGTCTTTGCAGATGACACCAAGCTGTGCCGGGGAATAACGTCCTTACAGGATGTCTCCAACTTACAAGCCGACCTCAATGCTCTGTGTAATTGGGGGACTATGGGGCCAATGAGGGCTAATGGTGATAAATGTAAGGTTCTGCACTTGGGGGCCTAAGAATATGCATACATCATACATACTGGGGGGGCAGGGGCGGACTGACAACTCATGGGGCCCCCGGGCAATAGGGGATCATGGGGCCCTTCAAAAAAGCTTATGAAAAAAGGTACCAGGGGCATCTCATGGGGCCCCCTACTGACCCCAGGCCCTAGGGCAGTGCCAGAGAGTTTCCAAATGGTCAGTACGCCCCTGCTGGGGGGTACAAGGGGGGGGGGTCATCAATGGGGGAAGGATCTGGGGGGGTCAATGGGGGGAAGGATCTGGGGGGTCAATGGTGGAGATAGGATCTGGGGGGGTCAATGGTGGAGAAGGATCTCATCCATGTATAATACATGGGGGGGTCAATGGTGGAGAAGGATCTGGGGGGGTCTCCATGGTGATAGGATCTGGGGGGGTCAATGGTGGAGAGGATCTGGGGGGGGCTCAATGGTGGAGAGGGATCTGGGGGGTCGGTGGTGGTGAAGGATCTGGGGGGGGGGTCAATGGTGGAGAAGGATCTGGGGGGGGGGGTCAATGGTGGAGAAGGATCTGGGGGGGGTCAATGGTGGAGAAGGATCGGGGGTTCTAGTAGATCACAAGCTTAATAATGGCAGCAATGCAAAGCTGCGGGTTCTAAAGTGAGCAAAATCCTCTCTTGTATTAGGAGAGGTATAGACTCCATGGAGAGATACATCAGGGGGGATATGATCCCCCCGTATAAAATCATTAGTAAGACCTCATCTGGAATATGCAGTTCAGGGGGCTTCAATTCACAAAAAGAACATTGGGGAACTGGAGGAAGTACAGAGGGGGATAACCAAACTGTATAATACAGGCATGGAGGAGATCAGATCTCCATGTATAATACATGAGGAAAGATTAGAGGAACTGAATGTATTCTCTACTGATAGAGGAGATAAGGGGGGATATGATCTCCATGTATAATACATAAGGGGGGATATGATCTCCATGTATAATACATAAGGGGGGGATATGATCTCCATGTATAATACATAAGGGGGGATATGATCTCCATGTATAATATACATAAGGGGGGGATATGATCTCCATGTATAATACATAAGGGGGGGGATATGATCTCCATGTATAATACATAAGGGGGGATATGAAGGGGGATGATCTCCATGTATAATACATAAGGGGGGATATGATCTCCATGATAATCCATGATATGATCTCCATGTATAATACATAAGGGGGGGATATGATCTCCATGTATAATACATAAGGGGGGATATGATCTCCATGTATAATACATAAGGGGGATATGATCTCCATGTATAATACATAGGGGGGGGATATGATCCATGTATAATACATAAGGGGGGATATGATCTCCATGTATAATACATAAGGGGGGATATGATCTCCATGTATAATACATAAGGGGGGGATATATGATCTCCATGTATAATACATAAGGGGGGGGGGATATGATCTCCATGTATAATACATAAGGGGGGGGATATGATCTCCATGTATAATACATAAGGGGGATATGATCTCCATGTATAATACATAAGGGGGATATGATCTCCATGTATAATACATAAGGGGGGGATAATACATAAGGGGGATATGATCTCCATGTATAATACATAAGGGGGGATATGATCTCCATGTATAATACATAAGGGGGGATATGATCTCCATGTATAATACATAAGGGGGGATATGATCTCCATGTATAATACATAAGGGGGGATATGATCTCCATGTATAATAATACATAAGGGGGGATATGATCTCCATGTATAATACATAAAGGGGGGATATGATCTCCATGTATAATACATAAGGGGGGATATGATCTCCATGTATAATACATAAGGGGGGATATGATCTCCATGTATAATACATAAGGGGGGTTCATAATACATAGTGGAACTCGGTGTATGTTATTCCCCCTGAGGTCATCATAGAGGACAAGGGGGCGCTCTTTAATACATCTGGAGGAAAATAAATGTAATCTCCAAACACGGAAAGGTTTCTTCACAATAAGAGCTGTGAAAATGTAGAATAGACTCCCTCCAGCGTTGGTTGTGGCCAGCTCAGTGGATTGCTGTAGGAAAGTCCTGGATTTTTTTCTTGGATACACAGAATATAACTGGATATAACATTTACAGGGAAAGTTGATCCAGGGAATATCTGATTGCCTCTCGGGGGGGCCAGAAAGGAATCTTTTTCCCATCAGGAGCGAATTGAATCGTGCTTTGCTTGGGATTTTTTTGCCTTCCTCTGGATCAACTGTGGATGTAGGATTATAATTTTTTTTTTTTTTCTATGGTTGAACTGGATGGACTTTTTTGTCTTTTTTTTTCTGCCAGACTAACTATGTAAATGATGGTGGTCTTCAGGATCAGTCCAGTCTTCATCTTGGTTGTTCTCCCCCCATCCTCACTCTCTGACCTCTGGTGGGGCTCAGCCCCGCTGTTCTTCATGACTAAATCATGGACTACTAATAAGGAAGTGCAGTACTTCTTGTGTTGGGAAGATGGCGATGAGTGATAGAGGGGGTGGGGACCCTCGTCCTATAATCCCCTCATCACTGTCCCTCCTATAAAAGACAGTTCTGGTTGTTTCCTCACTCTCTGACTAAGGTCCATGAATAAAGAAATATCCTGGTAGGAGATCAGAGGAGCCATTTCCTAGTTCCCTTGAGGGTGGAATTGTAAGCTCCTCAGAGACCAAGCTGCCTGATGTGGGCGGAGTCCTGGTTTGGGGGAACCAATCAGCTCCTGTCTAGTAATCCTCTTTGTCTTTGTATTTTAGTCCATGGCCGGGAGATGAGGAAAACCTCCGAGGATTGTCTCACTTTGTCTCCAGACTGGAAAGTAGAAGATGAGGACATCACACAGTATAGTCCAGGAGAAAACCCGGCTCCCTCCAATGTCCATCCGGCACCACCCAGTGTAGATGGACCATCGGATTCCTCGTATCCTGAGGAACCTCAGACTGTGCGGGACCGGGCCGGCCTTCCAACAGGGAAGAGCTTCTCCTGTACTGAGTGCGGAAAATGTTTCCATTTCTAAATCCAGCCTTAATAGGCATAAAAGATCTCACACGGGGGAAAAGCCTGTATTCCTGTCCTGAGTGTGGGAAATGTTTTGTACAAAAATTTGAACTTGTCAGACATCAGAGATCCCACACGGGGAAAAAACCGTATGCCTGTCTTGAGTGTGGGAAATGTTTTTTTTAGATAAGTCCAGTGTTAAAAGGCATAAAGGATCTCACACAGGGGAGAAAACCTTATTCCTGTCTTCAGTGTGGGAAATGTTTTTTCAGAAAGAAGTCCAATCTTTACAAACATCAGAGAGTGCATACAGGTGAAAAGCCATATTCCTGTCTGAGTGTGGGAAATGTTTTTCACAGAAGTCCCATCTTCACAAACATCAGAGATCTTACATGGGGAGAAGCCCTTTCCTGTCCTGAGTGAGGGAAATGTTCCTCACTGAAGTCCTGTCTTCCTGTACATCAGGGGTCCCACACAACCCTGGAGGTGTATTAGTGCCTTGAGTGCGGGAAATGTCTTCTAGATGAATGTTGCTGGACATCCCAGCTCTCATGTGGGGAAGAAGCACACCCTGATATACACCTCAGATATACTCCATGCTGATCTTCATCATGGAAGAAACAGTTCTTAAGGAGATGAAGGCCCCCAAAGACATGGAGAAGTGTGGGACCGGGTTGGCCATTGATATCAGGAGATCAGAGGCCCCCAAAGAATGGAGTGTGAAATGCTCTGTAATGATGGAGAACATTCCCCCGGCTCAGCAAATCTCCTAATGACATCGGTGTTTTAGCCCCATTCACAGAGAAGGAATGGACAGGAGATAACATCTCAGAATTCTGTCCCACGGTGATTGTTGTCCAGGAATTGTCCATTGATGGACTTTGTGAGAGATTTCATGGCCTTGTACACCTGCTGGGAGGGTTTTATGATTTATATACTGATTGTGAATAAAACATTTTAAGCTCTTTATTGATATGTTTTTTCTGGAGTTCCTCTTTATAAAGTCCCATGAGTCCCATTGTGTCTGTATGAGAGATTTCATCTAGGGTAAGGACTGACCTACACCCCATCCATGCACACTTACCTCTCCGGATCTGCTAAGGAATGGACTAGAGACCATAGATGGCATCCAGGTAGAAATACCACACAGAATAGAAATTCCACATCTAAAAACAAAGGTTCTAGACCAAACCATGACAATACCTACTCTGGATCCCCATCATACCATTCTCCTCACACCCAATACCAACCTTCCCCAAATAATGAACGAAGGGGACCACAATCCTTTTCCAACCATCATACAGTGATGACAGTACAATGACCAGAGCGGACACAGTACAGGGGATGAGAGGGGGAGACTGCGGACACACAAAAAAAGGGAGATGACCGGAGACTGCGGACACAGTACAGGGGATGACCAGAGAGGAATTACACATTGGTACAGGGGATGACCGGAGACTGCGGACACAGTACAGGGGATGACGGAGACTGCGGACACAGTACAGGGGATGACCGGAGACTGCGGACACAGTACAGGGGATGACCGGAGACTGCGGACACAGTACAGGAATGACCGGAGACTGCGGACACAGTACAGGGGATGACCGGAGACTGCGGACACAGTACAGGGGATGACCGGAGACTGCGGACACAGTACAGGGGATGACCGGAGACTGCGGACACAGTACAGGGGATGACCGGAGACTGCGGACACAGTACAGGGGATGACCGGAGACTGCGGACACAGTACAGGGGATGACCGGAGACTGCGGACACAGTACAGGGGATGACCGGAGACTGCGGACACAGTACAGGGGATGACCGGAGACTGCGGACACAGTACAGGGGATGACCGGAGACTGCGGACTGTATAGGGGATGACCAAGACACTGCGGACATAGTACAGGGGATGACCAAGAGACTGCGGACCCCCCAGTACAGGGGATGACCACCTACAACTGCGGACATAGTACAGGGGATGACCAAGAGACTGCGGACACCACAACAGGGGATGACCAAGAGACTGCGGACATAGTACAGGGATGACCAGAGACTGCGGACACAGTACAACCCCCCAAGACTGCGGACTGTATAGGGGATGACCAAGACACTGCGGACAGTACACCTACAACCAGAGACTGCGGACATAGTACAGGATCCACCTACCAGAGACCGGACTGTATAGGGATGACCAAGATACTGCGGACATAGTACAGGGGATGACCAGAGACTGTCCATATAGTACAAGATGACCAGAGACACGGACATCCACCTACAGGAGATGACCAGAGACTGCCACCTACAGGAGATGACCAGAGACTGCCACAGTACAGGGGGATGACAATATGCCACGCTACAAGACTGCCCCCAGCCACAATATCCACCTACAGACTGCCCCAGCGCGGGGGATACCACCTACAACTGCCCAGCACCACAATGATCCACCTACAGCCCCCCACCACAATATGCGCCACGCGGGGGGATACAAGACTGCAGACAGTACAGGAGATGACTGCTGACCTTGGGGGGGGGGGGGGGAGTGGGTACCTGAATATCCACCTACAACCCCCCCACCGTCAATGGAGTTGTCTTCCCTTTAATGTGGGCACCTGCCTGACAGCTGGGTGCCCAGTGCGCATGCACAAGCGCTGCGCTTTTATCAATCCTCTTTAAAGGGACCTGTCATGTGTCCCAGAAAACGCCGTACCATTCACAAAGTGCAGCGCTACTCGCGCATGCGAGTAGCATGGGCACTGGGCACCCGTGGTGTCAAGCCGAGACCCCACACTAAAGAAGCCGGAAGACTGCGCAGCGATGGACCGAGGAACAGTAAGGTCCTACCGGTCATTGAGGCCGGCCCTGTATTCTGACACGGCCGGGGTGGTGATCCTTAATAAAAGTGACTACATATTTGCTCCATAAGACGGTTGACAATCCCCTTTTTTGAGGGGAAAAAAGTGCATCTTATAGCAAAAAACTGGTACTTACTCTCTCCTCCCAAAAGACCCTCTCCAGCTTTTAACCACTTGCCCTCCTGAGGATTTACCCCCCTTCCTGACCACGCCTCTTTTTGCTACTTGGCGCTGCACTAATTCAACTGATAATTGCGCGGTCATGCAACGCTGCACCCAAACAAAATTTACGTCCTTTTTTTCACACAAATAGAGCTTTCTTTCGGTGATATTTGATCACCTGTGCGCTTTTTATTTTTTACGCTATAAACAAAAAAAAAGGCCAAAAATTTTAAAGAAAAACAATATTTTTTACTTTTTCAGCTATAAAAAATATATAGTAAACTCAAAGTTGGTTATAAATTTAGGTCAAAATGTATTCTGCTCCATGTTTTTTTGGTAAAAAAAAATCCCAATAAGTGTATATTGATTGCTTTGTGTGACAGTTATAGCGTCTACAAACTATGGGAGAGATACTGCAATTTACACCATTTTTTTTTTTGCTATACAGCGCTGCGCTAGTTTAACTGACAATTGCGCGGTCATGCAATACGGCACATAAATGAAATTTACATCCTTTTTTTCCCACAAATTGAGATTTCTTTTGGTGGTATTTGATCGCCTGTGCGGTTTTTATTTTTTGCGCTATAAAAAAAGGCTGACAATTTTAAGGAAAAAAAAAAAAACAATATTTTGGACTTTTTGCTATAAAACATGTCCAGTAAAAAATAACTTAAAAATCAAATTTAGTCATAAATTTCTGCCAAAATGCATTCTGCGACATGTCTTTGCTAAAAAAAAACCCAATACGTGTAAATTAATTGGTTTTACGTGAAAGTTATAGCGTTTACAAATGGCGGGAAAGATACTGGGATTTTTTAGGTTTTTTTATACTAATAATGGCGGGCAATCAGTGACTTATGGCAGGACAGCGGCGGACATTCTGACACTGGGGGGGGGAACTGACTTGGGGTCACTGACATCCCAGTGACACCAATACAGTGATCAGTGCAAAAAAAAAAAAACACTGACACTGTACTAATGGCACTGGGGAGGAAGGGGTTAAGTTTATTATTCAGGGAAGGGTTAACTGTGTGAGGGGAGTGTTTTACTAGGGGGCGGGGTGTGTACTGCAGGAAACAACGCTGGAGTGTTTTACTATTGGGCGGGGTGTGAGAGGGAAACTCTTCTGATCGGGAGAGAGAAACTCTTCTGCCCGATCAGCATGTCCTGGAGCTGTCAGGGAACTGACAGAAAGCACAGCTACTGCAGCTGTGCTCTCTGTCAGCGATGATCGCCAGGACATAGCTGGTAACGACCGGCTGTGACCCGGTGACTGACATCCACAGCTGTGATCGGCGGGACAGGTAGGGTGGCAGCACGCCTCGTGCGCGCGCCCTCTACCTGTTACAAAACACACATTTTAAAACGTGCTTTTGCCCAAGCCGTGCCGCCCTGCCGCCGTATTTATACAGTGGCTGGGGCGGCATGTGGTTAAACGTACTTTGAAACAGATTATCAAAACTGGTTTTAACAATAAGATTTTAAATAAAAAAAAGAAAAAGCCTTTTTTATGTCCAGTAGCCCCTAAACTACCCGTGTTTTATCTACTACCTAAAATTCACAAGGACCCTATTACAGCACCAGGTAGACGATCGTTAGTGGTATAGGGTCGCTGTGTTGTAAAGTAGGAGAGTATATTGATTATTACCTACAGACAATAGTTACACAGACACCATCATATCTCCGAGACACAGACACTAGTTACACAGACACCATCATATCTCCGAGACACAGACACTAGTTACACAGACACCATCATATCTCCGAGACACAGACACTAGTTACACAGACACCATCATATCTCCGAGACACAGACACTAGTTACACAGACACCATCATATTCCGAGACACAGACTAGTTACACAGACACCATCATATCTCCGAGACACAGACACTAGTTACACAGACACCATCATATCTCCGAGACACAGACACTAGTTACACAGACACCCATCTCCGAGACACAGACACTAGTTATCTCCGAGACACAGACACTAGTTACACAGACACCATCATATCTCCGAGACACAGACACTAGTTACACAGACACCATCATATCTCCGAGACACAGACACTAGTTACACAGACACCATCATATCTCCGAGACACAGACACTAGTTACACAGACACCATCATATCTCCGAGACACAGACACTAGTTACACAGACACCATCATATCTCCGAGACACAGACACTAGTTACACAGACACCATCATATCTCCGAGACACAAAACAAGTCCTTAATGTAGGGAGAGATGTCACTCTATCACCAGACACATTTTCTGTCACTTCTGATGTGACATCTCTATATTCCAACATCAGTCATAAGGACGGCATGGAAGCAGACGATTTCTTTCTTCACACTGCAGCACCTTACACTTAGCACAAAGAGAATTCATTTTAAACCTTTTAGAGTTTGCAATGCAAAAGAATTATTTTTGGTTCAATAAGGAATATTATCTACAGATTAAAGGCGTGGCCATGGGGGCCACATTTGCCCCTAGCTTGGCTAATCTGTTTATGGCTTCCTGGGAGGAAGACCTGATTGATGCTCGTGATTGGCCGGAACTTTTACTATACAAAAGGTATAGAGATGACATCCTTTTTTGGAATGGAGACGAGCAATCCTTAACGAATTTCTTTAGCACCTTAAATAATAATATCCTGAACATTAATCTAACATATTCCTACAGCAAATCAGAAATGGACTTTTTAGGCCTTACTATAATGAACATAAATGGTAATGACACGATGAATAATTTTTTTAAAAAAACAGACTGGAATAGTTATATTCCTACGGATAGTTGCCACCATCCGACGTGGTTACAAAATATTCCCAAGGGCCAGAACACAAGAATTCGTAGAAATTGCACAAATATTGATGATTACCATTCTCAGGCTAAAGTCCTTAAAGATAGATTTGTAGAAAAAGGTTACAGTGTAAATACCTGGATAATACTCTCAAAACTGTGGCTGGTCCTGATAGGGACCAAATGCTCATTGACACAATGAAAACACCAACTTCACGGGTCTGTCCTTTCATAACAACCTATTCCATACAATATAGAACTATAAGCGGGATTATTAACCACTTTAAGACCAGCCACTGCAATAAAACGTTTGCAGGGCGGCACGGCTGCGCAAAACCACGTTTTAAAATGTGCTATTGCAAAACAGGTAGGGGGCGCGCACGAGGCGCGCCACCGCCCTACCTGTGTCACCAATCGCGGCTGCGGATGTCAGTCGCCGGGTCACGGTCAGTCATTACCGGCCGTTTCCCATCGATCAGCGGCAAACACTGACCGAGAGCAGGGCTGCATTGTTTACACACAGCTCTACTCTTTGTCAGTTCCCTGTCAGCTCCTGATATGCTGATTGGAAGAGAAGAGTTTATCTGTCCGGATCAGCGTGTCTCACTGCAGCACACAAACCCTGCCCCCTAGTAAAACACTCCCTTCACACAGTTAACCCTGTCATTGAATAAAAATGTTAACCCCTTCCTCCCCAGTGCCATTAGTACAGTGTCAGTATTTTTTTTTTGCACTGATCACTGTATTGGTGTCACTGGGGATGTCAGTTACGCCAAGTCAGTTCGCCCCAGTGTAAGAATGTCTGCCGCAGTCCCGCAGTCCTGCCTCCCGAAGTCGCTGATCGCCGCCATTATTAGTATAAATAAAAATTAAAAATAACAGTATCTTTCCCGCCATTTGTAAATGCTGTAACTTTCACATAAACCAATTAATATACACGCATTGTTTTTTTTTTTTTTTTTTTAGCAAAGACATGTCGCAGAATGCATTTTTGCCAAAATTTATGATGAAATTTTATTTTTAAAATTTTTTTACTGGACATGTTTTATAGCAAACAGTCCAAAATATATTGTTTTTTTTCTTCTCAAAATTGTCAGCCTTTTTTTTTATAGCACAATAAATAAAAAACACACACGCGATCAAATACCACCGAAAGAAAGCTCAATTTGTGGGGAAAAAATGATGTAAATTTAATTTGGGTGCAGTGTGGCATGACTGCGCAATTGTCAGTTAAAATAACGCAGCGCCGTAACACAAACCTCTTCTGTAACCGCTTCCTGACCACCCTACAGCAGAAATACTGCTACAGGGCGGCATGGGTGCGCAAAATCACATATATATACATGATTTGCGCTCCCATGGTTTTCACACCCCTCCCAGATAGCATCAGATTGCCTGTCAGTACACCAGTCATCACATTTAACCCCTTGATTGCCAGGAGCATGCTCATCCACAATAAACCTCCATTGCTAGTATAGTGTCTGAACGGGTCAATATCTTTGATCAGGTCAGCACTGTACCAGCGTTCACATTAGTATAGTGTCCCCAAAAATGCAGCGTTAGCGGGATCAGCCCCGGAACCTGCCAACACCTGCGTTTAGCCCCTACGCTTACCCCCCCCTTCTCCCCCAGCAAGTGCAGTGTCAGTAGATCACTGTCACTTGATACATTGCACACAAAACCGCAGTGTTCGCAGAATCAGGCCTGATCTCTGTTAGCACTTGCCGGTAAATTTTGATGACTCTCATATGCAGCAGAGTGCCAATACTAGTGCCACGCTACCTTTTGGTGAACTGGAGAGCACCAGCGGTCTAGTACATCCTGGTCTTTCACATACCTCCTTGATTTTTGGAGCTGTTTTTCACGAAATATCTGTATGCATTGATTGTGGATCAAAGCAATTATATTCACAACAATTTATCGCTGCCAACCCAAATTCAAACCTTGCCAGACCATTCGCATGGAAACTCATTACGGTTTTCAAATTTTACATTTTTTTTGGGCCTAACCCTCCACATGGGCATTACTAAAAGAAATGAATTGCGGTTGTATTGGTCCGCAGACCCCATTCATCATATGCCGTGTTCTCTGCTGCCATGGCCAGGCATAGATATGAGAGTATAATGTGTTTTTTATGCATTTCAGCGACAATACACTCTGTCATCCTCGGGGTGACCCTGAATTTGACCGGCTCCACAAAATTCAGCCCCTCGCAAATCACCTTAACCAAAAATTTGCAGATGTCTATACTCCCCAGCAAAACATCTGCGTTGATGAGTCCCTCATTAATTTTTCTGGCCGCCTTGCATTCAAACAATTTCTCCCCGGCAAGCGTGGCAGATATGGGGTCAAGATGTAGAAGACCTGTGAGAGGACAACAGGCTATACTTATAAGTTTCGGATTTACGAGGGAAAAGATAGTCACGTGGAGCCCCCCAGATGCCCAGACTACATGGGGAGCAGTGGCAAGATAGTTTTGGACTCGGTGTCATCCTTTTTACATATGGGGTACCACTTATACGTGGACAATTTTTATTCAAGCGTGCCACTATTTAGACATTTGTTCAATCTTGGAACTGGCTCATGTGGCACCGTGTGACCTAATGTGTGCCCACCATTAGAAGTGGGTGGATGCAGGGCGGTATATTCTAATGGTGGGCATACCACACACTTTTACTGGCAGAGATTTCTTCTCTTTTTTCATTCAGTCCACAGGCTGCATACAAAAAAAAAGAACATAGTACAACCCAACAAGGACCAGCGATGTACTGGTACATCACTGGACTTTGAATGGTTATACCAGGATGATGCCTTCAGCTGCAGGCATCATCCTGGTATAGTTTTTTCAGCCAGCAATCGGCTTTCATGTAAGTGCAATCCTAGTTGATAATTAGCAGCAGGATTGCTTTTACAGGGAGGTGATGCCCCCCCCCTCCCGCTGCCTTCCACGTCCTTCTCGGGCAGTCCCGTGCCATCGGGGGAACCTGAGAATGCAGCCAGTGTTTCTGCCAGCTGACCATAGAGCTGATTGGAGACCAGAATGGTGCCAATCATCTCTATAGTCTAAGAATTCGGAAGCTACGAGCATTTCATCACTTCAGTTTCTCAGGATATAAACAGCGCCATTTGTAAATTGGGAAAGCATCTGATCACCGATTTTGGTTTGATTAGATAATGTAAGGGCAGGGGAGAGATCCAGAGTCTGATAGACCCCAGATTTCTCAAAAAAGAATATATGACAATGCCCATTGAAGTTATAGGGGATATTTTCATTCCCTTTTATAGCATTAGAAGTGATCAAAGCAAAAAAAAAATGAAAGGTACAAATGTAAAAATAATAAAAAAAGAATCAAATAACAAAAAAATAAAAATTGCCCCTCCCATGCGCGCACACCTGTGTGCACAAGCCTTGACCCTGTGCCAGTATGTAAACAGCGGTTGCACCATGCATGTGAGGTATTGCCGTGAACGTCAGATGAAGGGCAGTAATTTTAACACTAGACCTCCTCTGTAAATCTAAAATGGTGGCTTTTAAAGGCTTTTAAAATATTGCCTATAGATATAAAATATGTTTGCAGTTTGTTGCCATTGCACGGGTAATGCGCAGTTTTGAAGCATGTCATGTTTGGTATCTATTTACTCGGCATATCATTATCTTTTATATTTTATAAATAATTGGCCAATATATTGTGTTTTTGTGCATTAAATTGAAAAAAAAGTGTATGTTCTTAAAAAAATTTGCTTTTGAAAAATCGCTGTGCAAGTACTATGTGCTATAAAAAATTGTACCCACCATTTTATTCACTAGGGTGTCTGCTTTAAAAAAAAATATATAATGTTTTGTGGTTTAAATTAATTTTATAGCAAAAAATACTGATTTTTTTCATGTGAACAAACTGTCAGAAAAGGCTTGATCTTCAGGTGGTTAGAAGAGTGAATGATGTGTGGCATAAACTTCTAATGCTGGGCATAGAATGCCCCCGACCCCCAAAATGACCCCTTTTTGAAAAGTAGACACCCCAAACTATTTGCTGAGAGGCATGTTGAATCAATAGAAGAATTCATTTTTTTTTTACCACAAGTTTTTGGAAAAGGACAAAAAAATATATATATTTTTTTTTACACAAAATTGTCACTTAAATGATTTATTGCTCACACATGCCATGGTTATATGTGGAATTACTCCCCGAAATACATTCTGCTACTTCTCCCGAGTATGGGGGTACCACATGTGAGAGACGTTTTGGCAGTCTAGCCAAGTACAGGACCCCAAAATCCAAAAGCACCTTCAGGCTTTTAAAGGGCTTTATTTCCTCATTACACTTTCTGACTGCCTATCACAGATTCGGAGGCCCTGAAATGCCAAGGTAGCACCTAACCCCCCCAAATGACCCTTTTTTGGAAAGTAGATATCCCAAGGAATTTGATAAAAGCACGGTAAGCATTTTGCAGATCTCATTTGTTCCCACAAGTTTTTGGTAAATGAAGAAAAAAAAACAAAAAATTTTTTCTATTCTTTTTTATATTTCAAAACCTTGTGAGAAAAAATGAGATCTGCAAAATACTCACCATGCCTCTTTTTAAATTCCTTGGGGTGTCTATTTTCCAGAAAGGGGTCATTTGGGGGGGTTGGTGCTATCCTGTCATTTCAGGGCCTTCGAAACTGTGATAGGCAGTGAGGAAGTGAAATGAGGAAGTTACACACCTTCAAGCTTTCAAAGTGGTTATTGGATTTCAGGCTCCTGTATGTGGCTAGGCTCCCAAAAAGTCTCACACATGTGGTACCCCCATACTCGGTAAAGTAGCAGAATGTATTTGGGGTGTAATTCCACATATACCCATGGCTTGTGCGAGAAATAAATAATTTAAATGACAACTTTGTGTAAAAAAAAAAAGTTTTTGTCATTTTCCAGAAACTTGTTGAAAAAATAAATCTTCCATGGACTCAATATGCCTATCAGCAGATAGCTAAGGGTGTCTATTTTCCAAAAAGGGGTCATTTGAGGGTGTTTGTACTATCCTGGTATTTTAGCACCTCAAGAAATGTGATTAGCAGTCAGAAAGTAAAAGCTGTGTAAATTCCATTATCTATCCCATAGTTTGTAGACGCTATAACTTTCACACAAAGCAATCAATATACACTTATTGGGATTTTTTTTAATCAAAAACATGTAGCAGAATACATTTTGGCCTAAATTTATGACAAAAATTTAGTTTTTTTTTGGATATTTTTTATGACTGAAATGAGAAAATATTGTGTTCTTCAAAAAGTTTTTTTTCTTCAAAGGTTTTTCTGGTTATAGCGCCAAAAATAAAAAGTGCACAGGTGATCAAATACCACCAAAAGAAAGCTCTATTTGTGTGAAACAAATGACATACATTTCATTTATGTACCACATTGCATGACCGCGCAATTGTCCGTTAAACTAGCGCAGCGCTGTAAAGCAAAAAAAGGCATAAATTGCAGTATCTATACCATAGTTTGTAGACGCTATAACTTCACACAAAGCAATCAATATACACTTATTGGGATTTTTTTTCCAAAAACATGGAGCAGAATACATTTTGGCCTAAATTTATAACTAACTTTGAGTTTACTAAATATTTTTTATAGTTGAAAGTAAAAAATATAATTTTTCTTCAAAATTTTTGGTCTTTTTTTGTTTATAACGTGAAAAAAAAAAAAGCGCACAGTGATCAAATACCACCGAAAGAAAGCTCTATTTGTGTGTGAAAAAAAGGACATAAGTTTCATTTGGGTGCAGCATTGCATGACCGTGCAATTATCAGTGGAATTAGTGCAGTGCTGAGTATTAAAAAGAGGCGTGGTCATTAAGGGGGTAAATCCTCAGGAGGACAAGCAGCTAGACTCCATCCTGGTATTCTGCTGCAGAGACTGGAAGGTGACGGACTGATTGGGGGACCTTATTGTCTACCAGTAGAGTGTGAATGACTTGTATTCCCAGATAATAATATATAATATAATCCCACGTTTACACACTATATATATATATATTTATATCTGGTGGTATATTCATTGTTGATGACTATATAGTATATTGTTGGGAATTATAATGATTTATATGGTATGTTTCCCTGACATATAATTGACACCTCAGCTTCCATTCTTCCCTTTTTATTATATATATTATATTTATATCTGGTGGTATATCATTGTTGATGACTATATAGTATATTGTTGGGAATTATAATGATTTATATGGTATGTATTTCCCCTGACATATATGACACCTCAGCTTCCATTCTTCCCTTGGTATATATATATATTTATATCTGGTGGTATATCATTGTTCATGACTATATAGTATATTGTTGGGAATTATAATGATTTATATGGTATGTTTCCCCTGACATATATGAGACCTCAGCTTCCATTCCTCCCTTGGTATATATATATATTTATATCTGGTGGTATATCATTGTTGATGACTATATAGTATATTGTTGGGAATTATAATGATTTCTATGGTATGTTTCCCCTGACATATATGAGACCTCAGCTTCCATTCTTCCCTTGGTATATGCCTGGATTTAGGACACTCAATTGTTGTCCCTTTTCTTATATCGCCTTGTTTTGATCCAACAACTGATCACTACTTACTGACCTAATCCGGACCCCACTACTATCTAATATTTACTGTGTATTTGCTGACACGTGTATATGTCACTCAAGCTTATATCATTCAAAATACCTAAGGAAAAATGGCGCCCGGCTTAGCCGTGCGTGTGCACTAAGTTACGTCTTCTCAAAAATGGAGCATGTATAATGCGCATGCGCAGTCGTCTATATAAACTGACGGCACACGGCTTGACGTTATTGGTGTTGCCCTTAGATGACATGCGGATGCACGAAACGCGCAAGGAGGAGCCAATAACGCCATGATGTCACGCAGCCGGAGCAACGTGGAGCTCTGGCGGCCATCTTTAACTCTGGCCGGTTAGTCCATGCGGTTTTGCTTTCTCACCCTATGTGTTTTTATCTGGATACCTATTATTTTCTCAATAAATATTCATACTACTACACTATGGGATGTGTTTGCCTTGACTCCCCCGGGGAGTATTGATTTACAGACATCCACTGCCCAGTTCCCAGAGAGGGAGCCTCTATTACACCCAGTGAGCTGCACCCATCCATCCCTTAAGGGGAACTCTGGAAAACCCGGATTCATCATCTTAAAGTCCCAGGACCCATCCCCCATAAGAGGGAGTTTTACTCTATTCCTGCCCTGAGATGACCATTAGATGACAGCAGGATTTATTACAAAACGCACATTATTTTTACGCGTTCCGGTGAGTGCGCATTTCTTCCATACTGATTGCACAGCACCGTTTCCAGGACTGTACAGGATATATGAGCACTTAGTCACTTTATGAACTTTTATATGTCTGGTGTTATTTATATCACGAGTTTAATTTTTCAGAATCAATTTGTGAATATTTATGTCACTTTTATGTACCTTTTTGACCTTTACAATCATTTTCGTGCTGCACACTATTATTTACATTGCTGATTGTAAGGTGTTTACTTGGTTACCTTGTGCATAGCGGCTGATATCCATTTTTGTGTGCGCTCACATATACCTACCATACATACTGTATCCCCAGATGGTGGGGACTGGACCTCCTGAATGAAGGATAGGGAAACCTGAACATTGTCCTGGGCAGGAAGGGGGTAAAAAGTGCCCGGTATTGAAGGGGTTTAAAGGGCAAATATGACAAGAAAACATTCAAAATGTTTGAACACAACACAAGGCCAGGATCACATCCCAATGAGACATTTCTCAGGGCTGCAGTTCCTCTGAGCTCCACAAGGTGGTGATCTCGCTTATACCCAAACAGGAAGTCTCTATGGAAATGATGTCAGCTACAGACAAGGAAGTGATGTCAGGTACAGACAGGAAATTAATGTCAGGTACAGAAGAACGTTCCATGTGACACAAAGAAGAGGAGTACATTGGGGGAAGTGGCAGCAGAGAGGTAATAAGATGTTATTTACCTATTTACACCCAGTAACCCCCCCGTCATTGTCCGTCCTCTTCCTCCATAGTCATGTCAATCTCTTCCTCC